TGAGTGCTTCTCGTAAAGCATCTTACTTCAGATCCTCTAATAAATATTCAACAAGTAAGAAGAGAATGTTCTGTATCTCTCTATTTCAATCTGCATAACTGTATTCTGATCCTATATCATAGATTGTAAAGTTCAAAGTGATGTTTTTTTTCTTCGCATGCTGAGTGTATACTTCTTTTTTTGTTCGTTTTGTTGTAAAATAAGAAATAAAAGTGTTATTTAGGAAACTGAAGCATGTTTATGAGGATTACTACTTTAAACCTTCGCCTCACTTATAGTATATCATAACAGACTTTAGCAGAAAACATGAACATGTATCTTTGATCATGACTTGTTCTGCTAACAAATAGCATCCTGGCATATTCAAGCTGATTGTTCTGCTAACAAATAGCATCCTGGCATATTCAAGCTGATTGCTATTATCATTGTTGCTTTATTTAAAGATGGTAGTTTTTCTTTTCTAGACATTTATATAAAGACTATCTTTGTAAAGTAAGGCACAATTGTTAAATAAAAACTGTCAGTGAGCCCCAGGGCAGCTGTGGCTATAATGTAGTTTGCCACCATCAGTTTGGGATTGTGTGCATGATTGAATGTGGTGTGAAACATACAACATACAGGTCCTTCTCAAAATATTAGCATATTGTGATAAAGTTCATTATTTTCCATAATGTTATTATAAAACTTGAACATAACATTCAGGTTTTTTTTAGATTCATTTCACACTAACTGAAATATTTCAGGTCTTTTATTGTCTTAATACGGATGATTTTGTCATAAAGCTCACGAAAACCCAACATTTCTATCTCACAAAATTTGCATATTTCATCCGACCAATAAAAGAAAAGTGTTCTTTATATAAAAAAAAAAAAAATTTGAACTTCAAATAAATATGTAGTAATTATGCACTCAAACAGGAATCCTTTTTGCAGAAATGACTGCTTCAATGCGGCGTGGCATTGAGGCAATCAGCCTGTAGCACTGCTGAGGTGTCATGAAGGCCCAGGATGCTTTGTTAGCATTTAGCCTTTAGCTCATCCACAGTGTTGGGTCTTGCGTCTCTCAACTTTCTCTTCCCAATATCCTACAGATTCTCTATGGGGTTCAGGTCAGGAGAGTTGGCACAGTGACACCATGGTCAGTATACCATTTACAAGTGGTTTTGGCACTGTGAGCAGGTGCCAAGTCGTGCTGAAAAATGAAATAATCTGCATAAAGCTTTTCAGCACATGGAAACATGAAGTGCTCCAAAGTCTCCTGATAGCTGCATTGACCCCGCCCCTGATAAAACACAGTGGACCAACACCAGCAGCTGACATGGCGCCCCAGACCATCACTGACTGTGGGTACTTGGCACTGGAATTCTGGCATTTTGGCATTTCCTTCTCCCCAGTCTTCCTCCAGACTCTGGCACCTTGATTTCCAAATGACATGGAAAACTGAGAAACAGACCAGTGCTGCTTCTCTGTAGCCCAGGTCAGGCACCTCTGCTGCTGTTTCTGGTTAAAAAGTGGCTTGACAAGGGGAATGCGGTACCTGTAACCCATTTCCTGCACACACCTGTGCACAGTGGCTCTGGATATTTCTACTCCAGACTTCACTGCTTCTGCAGGTCCCCCAAGGTCTGGAATCGGCCCTTCTCCACAATCTTCCTCAGGGTCCGGTCACCTTTTCTGGTTGTGCAGCGTTTTCTGCCACACTTTTTCCCACCCACAGACTTTCCACTGAGTTTCCTTGATACAGCACTCTGGGAACAGCCTATTCGTTCAGAAATGTCTCTCTGTGTCATACCGTCTTGCTTGAGGGTGTCACTGATGGGCTTTGCAGGTGTTTAGAGTTAATTTGTTGATTCGGATGATAAGGTGCATAGAGACCTTTTTCATGATATGCTCATTTTGTGAGATAGGAATTTTGGGTTTTCATGAGCTGTATGCCAAAAGTATTAAAACAATAAAAGACCTGAAATATTTCAGTTAGAGTGCAATGAATCTGAAATATATGAATGTTCAAGTTTTATCATTACATTATGGAAAATAATGAACTTTATCACAATATGCTAATATTTTGAGAAGGACCTGTATAAGTAACGTATAAAATTATTTACACACTTCCAACATTTAGTCACATTGCAGCCACAAACGCTACTGCTTTGTTGGGATTCCACAATGGTGAAGATTTGAGAAAATCATGTATGATGTCTGAAAGGTTTGCTCATTTTAGTGTCAAAGCAGTAAAAAAATCTGTGAAATTAGTTGCCTTTAAAAGTCACACAAAGAGTATATTGAGTTCACTTGTGTGAGGTTTCCTCCTACTTTCAATCTAGTTGTTCCATGAAGGGCTTCAGTGTGGGTTGTTATAGAGGAAAACAGCATTATTGTTGCTAATATTTCAAGGACTCAAGGATTATGTTTCAGAGAGGGTTCGGTAACAATATTCCAATCATTGAATGTCTTGTCAGTCTGACAAAACACCACAGGAGCTTCAAAATCCACAGCTAACAGTTGTTTTCTCCATGAAACTGGCCTTTATAGTGGATGAGAATGACTTGAAAAGTGCTGTTCAGAGTTTCTTACAGATCGGGGAGGTGGTCGGATTAAATCAAACTTCGACCTACATTTAAACGCTGATGTGTGATGAAACCAAAGGTGTAGGTTTGAATTCAACTTTGGTAGGGACACTGTTGGTCTGATGTCATTGGTCCAATGCAAAAAAATATGCATGCTCGTTTTTTTATGCTTGATGTGAAAATCATGGTGTATTTTGTTTAAAGAGAAAAGCAGCATTTCTTGCTACATTCATACAAACTTTATAAGCACTACACACACTAGATGCTGTTGACTAAAGCTGAACCGGCTCTGATGAATGAGGAAATAGGACTTTTTTTCCAGTTTGAAAAGGTTTGCATTTAAAATTACCAGCGACTAAATCAATCTGTAAATCTGTGCCTATTTAACAGAATATAGCCTAATATGTCAGCTATATGTGGATTTATACTTTCTTTTATTTTGAGGATATAGTATTGTGCAAAGTTAAACAGAGGTAAAGCCCACTCTTATCTTTTAAATGTTCTTTTTGTATCATGAAATAAAGCGAAATAATAGATTTAAGGGTCGCCAAATAAATGTATTGTATTTACATGAGCACTAGAAATAGAAGAGGAACTGACACTGAGCATTTAATATATTAACTTTACTCTACAAGTTATACATCTAGGCTGTTGTTACTCTGTTTAACCCATTTCATGTATTTTATTTATGGCTGAAACAATCAATTATTGAAATAATGTCAACAAATTTAGCAATCGATTAATCGTTAACTGGAGTATAAAGACTCTAAAACGTGTCTTACGTGCCAACTTAGAGCAGGAATTATACCAAAATTGTAAAAACAATGCATTTGCATTTTAGATAAAACATGTTTTCGTCTGTCAATATTCTCCATCACACTGCAAAAAATTTAAATCTAAATAAGTAATTTTGTCTTAAAATAAGTGCATTTTTCCTTGAATTGATGAGGTAAGTGAGACACTTTGCCAATGGAACAAGACAATTTACATTTGAAATAAGAAAAAACTATTGTGTTGTCTTATTTCAAATGCATATTATCTAATTATCTCGTTTTAACTGTAAAAATACTCATTCCATTGGCAAACTATCTTATTTACCTGCTCAAATTAAGGGTAAATATACTTTATTTAAGAAATTTCTTCTTATTTTCAGATTGTTTTTGCAGTGCAGAACTCCTCTAATGCTGCAACAATGATGTATAGTAAATTATAAACATGTTCTTCACATATAATTGTTGGTTGGGACATGTCCCTATGGTCCCTATGCAAACCTACGCCCATGGATGAAACTAAACACATCTTGAATCTACATACCTCACCAAGTAACATGTTGAATGTTGGATGTACACTGTACTCCTTCAACTCCCAGTAAATCCACTGGAACTACCAGCCACAATAGTAACCCCCTCATTCTCCTGAGCATGAATATGTTTTTACTCTGACTCCACCCTTTAATCTCCCTGAATTACAGGGAGATACGGCTTATCTTTAGATCTTAATGTCCACAAATCATGACAGAATATTTTAGTACAAAGATTGATGTTTAAGAAGGAATTGTAGGGGACCAGCCAAGGATAGCGGGACATTTTGAATGGTTGCTAGGCAGAGGTGTAGCTAGAAAATGTTTATAAGGATGGCCAGGCAATAACCAATGTACACTGAGGGGTGGCTGATAGTGGACAGGCACCAGAACCTCAGAGTCAAACCAAAGATAATACAAACTGTACTTTCCTATAGTCTTTGCTAACAAATAGACGCAGATATTTAAACATTCTAGATTAAAGGTATAATGGATAAAATTCTTTCAGGTTTGAATTCTGGGACAAAAATCTTTTCTATTGTCATTATTGACCTACCTTTATCAATAATCATTCTGCATAAAATCGATATTTAAAAGCACTAATATCTACATAATTTAATATCTTTTCAAGAAAATAATTATCTATCTCTGATTTCACTGAAGACTCCAAGATGACTTGCATTTTCTCGCTACCCCATAAAACACAAGATCTAGTTCTGAAAAGAGCATGAATTCTGTACTTATCATGAGGTTATTTGAAGCAAGCCTTTCAATAACAGAGGGTATAAGAAAGTATAAAAAAGAAAAAATGCGGTTTTCCCCCCTGTAGTTTGCAGTAATTCCACAAGGGGGCGTTGTGTTACCATTCCTCAGCCCTCACCACTGGTTGAAAAAAAATGTAGGAAGCTGTAGTATTTCTAAAATGTCCGTAGTATTTCTAAAATAATTTAAAGTAAATTCTTGTTTATCCCAATTTGACGGACAAAAATAGGTTTAATGTGTCATTAATTTCTCTTTTTTTTTTTTGACGCTCTTTGGAAACTAACACCACTTTGCCACTGACACCGGAAGTATGCAGTGAATCATCTCGCCCCGTTACGCACTCTCTGCTTTGGCCTCATCATCCCCTCCACCATCATCATCCCCATCAGCAGCAGCGGCAGCAGCCCCGCCTCAGGACGCGAACCGCTGGCTCGTTCCTCCCTGACTCAGACTCTGACTCTGACTCCTCCACATCTGGCGGGCTGTCAGAAGGTCGCTGATCCATCGCTCCGTTCCCACCGGCGCGGCATGTTCACATCCACGCCGTCTCGCCACAAGAAGAAAAAGAAGCGGATTTTAAGCGGTGCTGCGTAATGTCTGAGGTGCGGAAATTCACAAAGAGGCTGAGCAAGCCGGGGACGGCCGCGGAAGTCAGACAGAGCGTGTCGGAGGCAGTGAGGACTACCGTGGACCCGGTGGTGAGTTCAACACCAGCTGGACTTCTCCTTCCTTCCTTCCTTCCTTCCTTCCTTGCTTCCTTCTTATTAATGGACTCCTAGTTGTCCTCAATCTTTCCTCTCCGCTGTTTGCTTTGCTTTGCTCCAGTTTTTGCTCCCTGCCTTAGCGGTGGAATGACCGATATCAAAGTCAGACTCAGATGCGGTCGCTCTTGAATTTGCTCCAGCTGTAAAACGCGGTGACATTGTCCTTTTGTGAGCTGCTGGATCTAAGCCAATTAGAAACCTGCAGCATGGCTCCTGCTAAATCAGTCTAATGTGTGCAGAGCTGCAAGGTTTGCTTCTGATCCTGCTGAGGCAGCATTTAAATCTGTTTTTATCTATCTGGCAATTTCCATGTGAGCAATTCCTTGTTGTCACATGTGTGTTGACATTTGTTTTAACTGAACCCATCAATTAACCCTTTATAGGAAACTCAGAGAAATACTTTAAAATCAACATTTCAAGTCACTAGTATTACTGTAATACAGGAAATATGGATATTTTGATGACAAAATATTAATGTCAATGTAATAACAAGAAAAATAAAAGTGCTTGTATAAGAAATTCATGAAAAAAACAAACATAACCTTAGAGGCATTAATGCTGATTAATACTGGAAATGAAATACTTTAGAAAACAAAACAAAATAGAAAACTAAACTAAGCAAATTAACAACTTAACTTTACATCTTAACAATTAAATTAGCACCTTACCTATCTAGACTAGACTGTTTTTAACAACTTAATTTACAGTAGCTAATATCATGCAAGAGCTCATCTAATTGGTCAAATGCCAAAATAAGATGTCCAGCCATGAAGCAGCATCTTTGCTGAATGGCTGGATATAGATCTTGTGCTTCTAGATCTCACTGAGGGACGGGGGGGGGAACCCAATTGGAAAGGGGAACCAAAGGAAAAAAAAACAGTATCTTGGCCTATAAAGGGTTAAATCGTCCTCTGTCATTATGTGAGACAAAAACTGTCATTCTGGCAACTTTTGCTTTCAGATCCAATGTTCTTTAAGTACCACTGGTGCTTTTTGGGGTGCCTCAGATGATGTTTTAAGGTTGACCCTAAACAAATAGCCTCTACTACAGCACCAGTAAGCCTAAGCGGTGAGATTGTATCGTTTTTAACCTTAAAACTAACAATATAATGTAAATTTGAGCAGAAATTTTCAGATCCAAGCTTCAAAGGATCTACGGCACATACAGGCTTTCCAGGGCGAATGGGGATCACTTTGGCCTTTTTACCTGAAACAGACAAACTGTTAATGATACAGCCATGACCTTTTTTGCTCCAATACTTGTATTTTAACTGAACCCATCAGCTAAATCGTCCTCTGTCATTGTGTGAGACAAAAACTGTCATCCTGACAACTTTTACTTTCAGACCCAATGTTCTTAAAATGCTTTTTGGGGTGCCTTAGATGATGTTTTAAGATTGACACAAAGCAAATAGCCTGTACTACAGCATCAGTAAGCCTAAACAGTGAGATTGTAAATACAAACCAGTCGATTTTAACTTTGAACCAGCAGATTTACCATTAGGCAATACTAGGCAGGGCTTCAATTACCTGGGGGTCCTATAATACTCTGTTTACAAGTATGGTTAATACAACTATTCCTTATTTGTGCACATTAATTATGTTTTTGATAAAAATTATTTTGCTTAAATGCCATCAGAACACTTAGAATATTAAGTGTGTCTCATACAAATGAAAAACGGAGAACAGATAAGCAGATCATGGATTGTCTACAGAAAAAGAAGGCCTGGGTTATTTGCATGTTTTCAAAACATTCGTCGGGCGGCTGTATAAAACCTTGAATCAATGCTATTGCTGACATTTTAATTGAAAAGTTTCCTGGATGGGAAGCGAAATGTCTTCAAACTTGGAAACAAAGTCCAGTAGATTGTTTTTTAATTTTCATTTTTTGGAATTACTGTGTTATTTACTTTTGCCGTCGCCTTTTTGGAAACACAGGAAGGAGCAATTAGCTAAGTGATCTTAGTGATTGGAGAAAAAAATCTTTCATTCCTTTTGAGACAGCATGAAAAGTCAGCTAAGTACAAAATACAGAGAAGAAAAATAAAACAAGAAAAGGGACAAGAAGAGAGGGACAAAATGTAGGACAATGTGTTCTCAGTTCAGAGGGCCCCCTGCCTGTCTTTGCCTAGGGCCCCAAATTTCCTAAATCCGCCCCTGCTTCGAGCAAACGACTCTTTGAGGTGAAGTGGAGGATATTTCAAGGTTTACCAGAAAGTGAATGAAGGTCAAATGTTTATGGCTTTGTTCCCTTTATCTCTGAGGGGGATTTAGGTTGCAAGATCAGAAACCAGTTTTAGGCACGCACCATATAACTGGATACACATCGATATCTGTTGGATCTTTGGTTCACTTCAGCCTTGTTGCCGTTTATGTGTTTTGGGGAGGGTGTTGTCCAACTGGTGTCTTTTTGAATGTGATGATGCAACACAGGATTGGGGTGATGCATAATTAGAGCAGAGAAGCAATTAACCTTCTCTGGTTGTGTTTGTAGGATATAGAATAGGAAGGGATATAGATATAATACAGCTAGATCATGGTTGTCGGTTTAAATTAGCATTGATGCTTCTCTTTTCAGTAAATAGTAGACTTTAGAAAATCTGCTTTGCCCTGTAACATGTTATCAGCAGTTTCTAAAAAGACTAGACTGCGAATGAAATCAGTTAAGTATACCAATGATGTCCCAAAGCCTCAGCCTTTTAGAGTTATTAGTAATATTAGCAACAAACAATCAATGGGAAATGTTTCTAAACACAGGTGTTGCAGACAGACATGACTAGAAGGCTTTAATAGGATACCAGTTTAAAAAGTCCAAAACACATATGCATTACTTCAGCTGTTTACATGATTTACATTTTTCGCTTGGGTCTATTCCTTTTTGCTCAGAAACATACTTCTAATTTTCCCTGAAATGAGAGATGAGTATTAGTTTTATTTCTGTTTTTCTTAATTTGCGACATAAGAAAGAGAGAAACTCTACTTCCTGTTGTGCAGCTTTTTTAGATGGCTTCACAGCATGTTAGTTCATGGATAACCTTTGTTTATTGAGCTGTTATTTGTTGCCGCTTTTCTCTTCAAAACAGCCATGGACAGATCTATTGACATTCCTGGTGAAGATGTGCAAAGAGATTGCCTGCAGATCATCCCAGGTTTCCTTGCGTTTTCTTTCCTTCAGCTCAACCTTAATATTACAAGCATTCTGATGGCATTTTAGAGAAATAATAAAGGGCCCAGGAAGTTTGGGCCCTTGGCAACTGCTGAGTATTGCCTAATGATAAATCCCCCCTTGGCTAAAATCTTCTGCTATTATTCAGTGTCCATGTATCACATGTGTGCTTTTCCACATACTGATCCCTTGTTTCACATCAAAATCCAACAAGAGTTTGAGTTACAGAAAAGCTAAATCCTAACATCTGTCCAAAGTTCCAGTTAGCGGTTAAAAAACAGAGAATGCTTTTAAACATTGTATAAAGGTTGCTATGGTGACTCTAAGTCGTCACTACTTACTACAGGGAAACAGAAACTTTCTCGCAGCTACGTTTCCCTTAGTTTGGAGCTTTCTAAAATGTTCAGTCTGGTGGTAAACAGCAGAGGTCATTTTATTTAGCAGGTTTCCTGCATCTTTGTGGGTGGTGTTTATAAGCCCCTGGTCTTATGATGTTGGCTTCCAGCAGTGTGACGCTGGCAGAGCTCCTCAGTGGAACAGTCTTGTGATAAGGTTGAGCGTCTTTAAACAGAGATGGAACTTAAGGGTGTTCTTACACTTTTAGGACCATGTGGGCTGGATGTGTGTGTGCTGCCTGCTGGGAAGGAGAACGGCAGATTACTTTATGGTGGAGAACAAATAGGGTTTTGTGGAGGGTGGATGGTCGTGAGTGGCTCTCTCTCATGGGGATTCCCTCAGCATGTCCAGCATGTGATATTCAGTGTTGGTTCAGACATTTTGGTTCTCTTCCTTTATCAACCTGTAGGTTTGTTTTGGTAGAATCAATCTATTTCCAATGTTTCTTTTTTTTGCCTTGAGCTTTGTCTAATGTGATAATACATTTTTTTTGATGGAGCCTGACCTTCTTGTGCCTTTAATGGTTGTTCTTTTGGCTTTCTGAAGATCCCCCCTTTTGACTGCTTTTATAAATGTTCCATTTTTTGTTCCTAATCTAATAAATGTAATGAAACTGTAGAATTTATCCTCTTAAGCCATCAAGTTCTGTATCAATGAACTGCTTTTATTTTCCTAACTTTTCTCATGAATGCAGCATCTTTTTTTTAATATTGCTTTTGGCCTTTCCTCTCTGAGGTCAGCGCCCTGCATTTCTCCCACTTATTGTCTTTCATCTTCAAATGTAAGGAAATCTACAGAGGTTGGACAATGAAACTAAAAAACCTGGTTTTAGACCCCAATAATTTATTAGTATGGTGTAGAGCCTCCTTTTGGGACCAATACAGCGTCAATTCCTCTTGGGATTGACATATACAAGTCCTGCACAGTGGTCAGAGGGATTTTAAGCCATTCTTCTTGCAGGATAGTGGCCAGGTCACAACGTGATACTGGTGCAGGAAAATGTTTCCTGACTCGCTCCTCCAAAACACCCCAAAGTGGCTCAATAATATTTAGATCTGGTGACTGTACAGGCCATGGGAGATGTTCAACTTCACTTTCATGTTCTTCAAACCAATCTTTCACCAGTCTTGTTGTGTGTATTGGTGCATCGTCACCCTGAAACACGGCACCTCCTTCAGGATACAGTGTTTGAACCATTGAATGCACATGGTCCTCCAGAATGGTTCGGTAGTCCTTGGCAATGATGCGCCCATCTAGCAAAAGTATGGGACCATGGAAATGCCATGATATGGCAGCACAAACCATCACTGATCCACCCCCATGCTTCACTCTGGGTGGTACGCTTCTTTGTGGCTTCTCCACACCGTAACTC